ATGGGTCCCTGAACCGCCTCCCATTGCTGCTGTCTCCATCGCCACACCTCTGCCATGGGATGCCACTTTCAGGTCTCCTCACACTGCTGGTGTGTTACATTTTTTGTCATAGGGTGCTGGCAGATTACGGGCCTCCCATTGCTGCCTGCCAGGCCCGTAATCTGCCATGGGCCCCAGTACCGCCTCCTCATGCTGCTGCCAGGTCCACAGTCTCTCATGGGTCCCTGTACGGCCTCCCATTGCTGCTGTCTCCATCGCCACACTCTGCCATGTGCCACTTTCAGGTCTCCTCACACTTGGCAGTGTGTTCCCATTTTTTTGTCATAGGGTGCTGGCAGATTACGGGCCTCCCATAGCTGCTGCCAGGCCCCTAATCTGCCTTGGGCCCCTGTACCGCCTCCTCATGCTGCTGCCAGGTCCAGACGTCTCTCATGGTCCCTGTACGGCCCTCCATTGCTGCTGTCTCCATCGCCACACTCTGCCATGTGCCACTTTCAGGTCTCCTCACACACTGCTGGTGTGTTCCATTTTTTGTCATAGGGTGCTGGCAGATTACGGGCCCTCCCATTGCTGCTGCCAGGCCCGTAATCTGCCATGGGCCCCCGTACCGACTCCTCATGCTGCTGCCCAGGCCCGTAATCCTGTCATGGGCCCCTGTTGTCGCTTGTTGGCATATTCCGCTCGTTCAGATGCTCCTTCTCCTGCTACTCCTCTTCACGGATTCCGTCAGCAGTCTTTCTTGGAATCCGTTTCCAAGAGACAACAGTTTGCGAGCACGCACCCGACGGTGCAGAAGCTGAACGTCCCCTCCTGTCCAAGTTGCTGCTGCCAGGCTCGTAATCTGTCATGCGCCCCTGTACCGCCTCCTCATGCTGCTGCCAGGTCCAGAGTGTGTCATGCGCCCCCATACCGACTCCTCATGCTGCTGCCAGGCCCGTAATCTGTCATGGGCCCTGTACCGCCTCCTCATGCAGCTGCCAGGTCCAGAGTGTGTCATGGGTCCCTGTACGGCCTCCCATTGCTGCTGTCTCCATCGCCACACTCTGCCATGTGCCACTTTCAGGTCTCCTCATGTCATACTGACTGTCAATATTATTTCTCTTCCCCAGCAGACTCCAAGGGCATTTAAATTAAAGGTACAGTGTTCTGCACTAATATAAAGGCTCTCTGAAGCCTAGAAACACCCTTTTATAAGTTAAATTCGCAGCGAATATATTCGACTCGAATCAAAATTTTTTCACGAATTCGCCGAATCAGTCGAATCGAATTTTTGAATAATTCGCTCATCTCTAATTGTCATGAGTGATCAGGTGGTTATGGTGTGGGTTGAATCAGTTTGGTTATTTGTGGGGTTGTACAAGCCCATGCTGCAGACATGGGGCTAACCAAGTGCCCTCATGGGACTTGTCACTCCCTACAACAAATCTCTCCTTTTCCTTCCTGTATTGTCTTCATGGTAACAGCTTTAGTTGAATTAGGACAATTAAAAGTACAGAATATTTCTGCTGTTTTCTTGTGTTTATCTTTTCAGGTCCTGTGGCTCCTTGTCCCCCCTCACATCCTGGTCACAGAAAACAGCTGTTCCTAGAAGAGCCTCACTGCTTTAATCCTGGGCATGGGTTGTGCAAACCCATGTAGATGAGTCAGTCTGATCAATCACACATAAGAACCAACGAATTAATAGCACAATAGAAAGTTGGTGATCACTGCTTCCATAATGGGGGTCTATAGCTTCACAATCCAGATTTGTTTTCTCACCTCTCTTTGTAATTTCTCCCCCAATTTTAGTATATTTTTAAAAAAGTGTTAAATATAAAGGCTCCCTAAATATTTTATTTTACTCCATGACAACATAGGTATCTCCAAGGCGAAAAAGCTATTGAAAATAGACCAGCTGCTAAAATCAACCCTGGTTTCACAACTTGAATAAATATCACAACTGTGTTATATTAAATTATGAAACTCAGCTATTCTTATGTATAGTGAGAATTCTTTACAAGTTATCACATATACAGAAGTCAGAGTATTACAGTTCATTTGCTGTTTAATGGGAAAAGTTTCTCCTGTGACCATAGATTTCATCACTTTTGTTTTCTCATGTACTAAGTTTTTTCATTTACTTTACCTACATGTGGCATATACACATACAGACAATCCTTTTTATGTTAACCAGGTACTCTTACAAATCCCTGGGCTTGTGATGTTTAAATAGAGCACACCAACACACTATGGGCCATTTACACCAGCAGGTGCACTTTATGGAACACATCCTAGATTGTAAGCTCCAAGGAGCAGGGCCCTCCTTTCCCTCTTGTATTGAACTGTATTGTTGCTGTATTGTCTCCCGTTATATTGTAAAGCGCTGAGCAAACTGTTGGCGCTATATAAATGCTGTATAATAATAATAATAAAGTACACTGTTGTGCAGTGCGTAGTTACAAAAAATTGCAGCGCTTGATTTTTTTCTTTCTTAAAACCTCTTTTTAAATTACATGCATTCAGCGCTATGTGTAGCAGGGCATTGTGACACATTGCCACACATAGTAATGCACTGTGTTGCAATAAAAGCTATGCTTTGATCATTTGATCACAAGGCACACAATTGCAGTGCACACACATGTGAATAGGGTGTTTCCACATATATGGGTGTGAAGTCAACCTCCAGATTTTTAGCCTAAGTTGCTTATTTACAGTATTGCATACTTTCACTGTTTTGCAAAAGGCACAATTTAAAATGTATGTATATTTGTTACATATTAACTCAACATAGTTTTATGTTTTAGATTTAGTATAAATTGTGTAAATTGTGATATTTTAATGTATTTATAGTGAAAATATTTATTTGGTAAACATTTTTGGAAGTGGTGTTGATGGCAGCTGCCATCTTTTTATTCTATTGATTCTGTGATTTAAAAAAAAAAAATATATGATTTTGGGAGGGAAGGGTGGGGAAATATTTTACAAATTCTGAAAACTGTAAATTAAAACGCATTAAAAGTAAAGAATTGCAAAAATGATCTGGTTAGCTGAGGTCAAAAGTAGAGCACAGGGCCTGGAAGCAATAATGCTTTCTAACAAGTGACTGGACCTTAAAGCTCTGAACCATACATTACCCTGAAAAGAAGTGGGTTAAAATGGCACCATACTTTTTAAAATAATGTAATTTACATTTAGAATGAAGGTAATTACTTAAGAGTAAAAATGAAATTAGGCTTATGAAAACTGTCATGCTGCTTGAATTTCTTTTTTTATCTTACAAATTCTTTATGTATAGCAGTTAAGAACAAGCTTTTAGTAAGTTCTTTTTAACATCAGCTGGGCTCTTTTATGAATAATTAGCTATGTAAATAAACAACAAGGACTAATCCAGTTAGGAAGAAATGAACAAAATATGCTGCATCGGTATAATTCAAGGTCATTTCAGATATCTAATAAGCTTTTTGCATGCAATAACGTAATGATCGCATTCCAGAACAACAGATGGAAAGCTCATTGTGTCTGCAATTAACACAAATGCACATGTATTGCATCACATTATTGTGACTATATTATGTACATTATATTGAGTCATAAGCAGCTAAATGTATGGAAAGATTAGGCTTCAATGTATAATAAAAACATCGCTTTTGATCCACCACATCAAATACCTCAAATCATAGTTAGCAATGCACTGGGCGGATTTCTACTGAAAAAGAATGTAAGTAGCTTAATGTCTACACAAACCAATTTAATGAGTTTGTATTGTTAAACTGATTTTAAGAATTTTATATAATGCACTTTAATGCCTAAGACAGAAGACATTTGCTTCCTGGGCCAGTACAAATAAGCAGGGAGCGAACTGACAACTCATGGGGCCCCTGGGTAATAGGGGATCATGGGGCCCTTGTGTCCTTGCCCACATTCAAAGCACACCCAAAAAAGCCTATAAAAGGTACCAGGGGCATTTCATGGAGCCCCCTACTGGCCCCCGGGCCCTCGGGCGCTGCCCGAGTTCTCGAATGGTCAGTCCGCCCCTGCTAATAAGATGTGTTCGGATGGTGGATCTGAGTAGAGATAATTCACTACACAGACATTGCTTATAGTGGAACTCGTAGTCAGTGACCCTACTGGGTATTATATAGTAATTTCTTCCAACCATGTAAATGCTATTTTGGTCTTATTTGCCAGCTAGGGCTTCCAGTCCTCTCCTGAGCAAGGGTTCTAAAGAAACTCTACAAGCACAGGAATATTAATCAGGGGTTCTACCAGAAAAGTAGTATGACGTGGTTGCAAGCTGAGTCACTCTTTGTACTTTATGTGCTATAATTTTCCTAGTGTACACATTTTGGTGCTTATGTTGTGACTGTTGTAACAAACACGCTGTATAACATAATGTAGTCAGTGAGACAATTGTAGGTTATCAGTGATAAGATATCTTAGATGATCTATTACTTTTTTTTACCAGGCTTGGAATTAAATGAAGGCCATATGGAAGGCTTGACATTTGATTGAAAGAAGAATAGCAGCAACACAATATTCAGCACTTGGAGTACATGGGTGTATGGATACTCTATAATTATTGAGGTAAAAATATGGTAGTCCTCTGATATTCCCACCCCTTGTGAAAGATTATTGTACACCCTTTTTAGTTCCATCAATGGGTGATACCATAATACTGGGGCTCCTCTTCAACTCTCTGGTCTCAGATTTTGCAAGAATGGAAATGATCAAACTCTATGAACGTATACATCATACTTTATTCGACACAATACATGTATTTAATAAGAAAAAGGTTTATTGGGATATACCAATGTTTTAAGCTCCATATTACATTGCTCCATTCAAACCTTTATATATTGGACAGTTTACACTGTTATACCCATCATAAAAGCTTCAACTTTATGGGACACTACCTTATGTGCTCATCTCTCAAATATTCCTATAGTCATGTCCTTCATTTGTTTTTCACAAGTAAGGTGGGGGGCCTTGTCATGATAGTACTATGGCACCATCCCCTAAACAGTCAATGAAAATATAGAAAATTACCTGTGTACCACAAGGGGACAGTGGGAAGTAGGGGGAGTTTACTGTGCCCAACACAATACAAAAAAAAAAAATACCCCCAAAAAGTACCATTTTTATTAAAACATTAAAAACAATAAGTCATAAAATTATGGAACATCAGTTACTGTGTAAAAGGAGTGGTACATAGCAAGGTTAATTGCAGAGAGTAGACAGGTGGATTGACTAGTTTCACTTAAAGTGAGCTTCCTTAGGCTCCAGTGTCTTCACTTGATAATGCAGT